AACTTACTGGACTGTTTCCGCCAAAGTGGCCAGATTTGCACTATTTAAGCAAAAAAGTACCCATTCTAGAGACCACAGCTCATCTGTTTACACAATACCACACTGTAAGAGCAAATAATGGAAACAGAGACCTATTTTGTAAAAAGAGATAGTAAGGACTCGACTGGAGTCACTGCCAGGATGATGGAATAGCTCAAACGTGCAGTAAGCTTAATTAAGTTTATTTAAAGCAGATATGGTCAGTAATGTTTGAGGAAATGAGAACGCATTATTGTTTTCTAGGAAATATGTGTCAGTGTTACTGTTATGTATAAACAGAATAATTTTTCCATTTGGGTCAATATCACCATAGAATGCCTTACAACCCTCACAATACTCATCTGTTGTCCTGATGTTACTAAAGGGGATGGCCTTATCTTAAAGGGGCGGATTCTCCAATACGACAGGGTGGACAACCATTCAAGGGACATGGAAAAACTCTATTTTGGCATTTATTACCAAATGATCAATGCACTCAAATTGAGTAATCTCTTATTTAATAAAATATTAATAGGATAATTGTTTTCTTTAATTTTATGATTTGACAATAATATACTATCATTCAAATTTAATGAGCAGTGCATGGGACATAGCAAAACAACACACATCCTCTTACACAAAACATAAAATAAATCTACAAAATGTATCTAAAAAGCCAAGTAATGATTTTGTTATGAATATAAGAACTTAACCTAATATAACACACCCTTTCATAGTCATTTTTATGTTATTATGGAGAATGAGCTATGTACAGGACACCAAAATGCACCCTACAGTGATATTGACCCATTTAATTTTTCAACATACTCTTTTTGAATATTTTATTTTGTGTGTTTTGGTCGTGTTCGTCAGGAGGAAGTAGATGTTTGGTGTTGATCACCGTGGGTCTCGGGCTCATTTGTGTTCTTCTGCTGATCTTCATCATACTGCTGTACTTCACCATCACAGCAGAGAGAGACCTGATAAAGAGTTACAAGAACACAGCTGAAGAGTTACAGGACAATTACACTGATCTAATGACTGAAAAACACAGAACAACTTCAACTCTTTGACTCAGAAGAAACTGGAGCTGGAGACCAGAGTCAGGTCTCTGAGTGAGGAACTTATGAAAGAATCTGCTAAACGAGGTCAGTGCACATGTTTTTTTGTTTTTTTAATGTACACGGTTTTATAAAGTGCATGCTTTTGTGTGGTTCAGGTTGCTTTTTCATGTCCAGTGAGTTGAAGAGCTGGTCTGACAGCAGGCAGTACTGCAGGGATCATGGAGCTGATCTGGTCATTATCAACACTGAAGAGAAGCAGGTGAGTTTGTGTGAGTGTCTTTGTGGAAATTGTGACTGTATTGAACTGAATAATAAAAGAGAGACCCTGAACTGGAATGATCGCTCATGCTCAGATAAGATTAAAGGGGTTTGTGAGAAATAGGGTTCATCCCATCTTGTGGTTTTGCTTCTATTATCTAATTTAATCATTCTTATTGTGAATGCATAATTTCTGATTTAATCCCTGCCATTTAAAAAAACTGTCAGTTGATATGAATTTTTCAGAAGGAAAATGCGAAATTCATATTATTTTCTTATTGCTATAATAAGCTTCTGTTTCTCATGGCGTGTATCAGGGTGAACTGAGACACCAATCCTCTGATGTGTTCATGTTTTGCTCCTTCACAAGCAGCTCTATATTAATATGATCTTATTCTGTCTCATTTGTTGATCTGAAGGGTTGAGGAGACAATCCCAGTAAACTACAGAAGTCTAAAGTGTCCAGATTGCCATGATTCACCCTGTTATTCTGATATTGAGTGTCGGTGCAACTGCTTTTGAGTTGAATTGCTTTCTGTTTGAATAAATTACCATCATTACCTTCGTAAACTTGACATTTTTGTTTTCATTTCATACTTCCTCCTTGTGTATCTGCTTTATAGAGTGGGGGAACTATGGTGTCTCTTTGTAGGCGGATCGGCTGTTAGCATCACACTGGTTCCCTCGACAAAAAGCCAATGGGATTTTTCCATAGGCTTTTGGATTGTCGCAAAAAATAAGCTCTGTGTTCAATCATAGTTCATGAAACTTGCACGTTTTGTCCAACAAGATAATCTTCACAAAATAATATAACTTTTATGAATTTTGAAGCCAAAATAAAGGCACCAGAACTTAAAAGCTAAACTTAGGATATAAACGAACTACACCTCCACGGTCGCTCGCCTTCAACGTCACCACCACCATGCTCCCGACAACTTTTTCAAACTTATTTTTAACACGTTCAGTGAAAAGGATTTAATATCAATTTTAATCCACGCTACATCCCAGCTAACAGAATTTTGTTATAAGAACATTCTTCAAATATTCAGTGTTGGTTCTGGGAACATAAAAAACGTTAGAGGAACGTTTTTAAAAGGTATGATGTTCCTCAAATGTTCTTTCAACTTAATTTTGATTTAAAATTCAACATTCTAGGAACGTTAATTTGTAACATTCCAAAAACATAAAAATATCCAGTTTCCTTAATGTTATTAGAACATTGGAGACACGTTTTTAATTAAAATATTCATATTAATCAAAGATTTATTCACTTTTAATGCACCTTATTTTGAAATGTACAGAAATACGCGCTTTCATATGTGCTTTAGTTATGATTATTTCATTTATTCACCATACTATTTATTACTAATGTCTCATTTTAATTTTAGTTTGGCTCTAGTTTTGTATTTATTCCAATTTATATGAAAAGGTTAATCACAGCTAACAAAATTTTGTTATAAGAACGTTCTCCAAATATTCAGTGTTGGTTCAGAAATGTTTTCTGAAAACACCTGCAATTGCTGCAAAACAAGCAACTCAAGAAAAGTCAAGGGTCAAGAGCCCAACTAAAACAAACACTGATCTCCATGATGGTGACCTCAAACTAAACATTTTCAGTAAGACATCAACATCTAAACCTCTGTTAATTCACAATAAGAACTTCTGTAGACGTCTGACAGAAATAAAGTCAATCTGGTTAGTAATAACTGAAGCTGGTAATGCTGTTTGTGGAGTTGTTTAATCAGATCTTGAAAGATTTAAAGTCTTTTATCTTCAGTTCATCTAAGGCTGTGGCTGAAAAAAGTTGTAGTTTGTGTTCTTATTTCTCTTTCTTTCAGTGCTTGTTCACAGCAGGTGTTTGAATGATTGAAAGAATGTTTCAGGAACATCATACTAACCTTTAAATCACATTCTACTAACATTAAGGAACTGGACATTTTTATGTTTTTGGAATGTTACAAATTAACGTTCCTAGAATGTTGAATTTTAAATCAAAATTAAGTTGAAAGAACGTTTGAGGAACATCATACTTTTTTAAAATGTTCCTCTAACGTCAAGAAAACTGGACATTTTTTATGTTCCCAGAACCAACACTGAATATTTGGAGAATGCTCTTGTAACAAAATTCTGTTTGCTGGGTTGTAGCTTTTATATTTATTAATGTTTACTTCTGTGTTCCTCTCTGCCATTGAGTGTGACATTGATGCAAAAACATTGATGATGTCATGAAAATACACAGTTTTTAGCCTGTTTTAGTCTGAGTCCATTTAACTAGTCACAGATTCCCCCTTTTTTACTTTTCTGGCTGTCAACATGATCATGGGAAAAAATCTGGATTGTCTATACATTAATCTATAATATACATTAAATCATAGCGTGAGTCTACAGAGCGTTAAAACGGGAAAAAGTCAAGATTTCCTGATAATGAAACCACTTCCTATGTAAGTTTAGCACTCTTTAAAAAAAACAAGGTACACTTTCTAAGAGACCACAGCTCATCTGATCACATATACTGCAAGACATAAGAAACAATAATGGAATCTGAGAACATCTATATGCGCAGAAATGTTAACAGATCTGGACCTCGAGCACAGAGTCGCCACCAAACTGATGGAAACGCTGGAAAGTGCAGTAAGCAGAAAGTTTCATTTGAAGCAGAGACAGTTGTGCTAATGTTTGAGAAACTGAAAATTGTTAGATAAAATGTAAATAACTTTTTTCTAGGAACAATGTTTATACGTTTTTATATTAAAAGTATTAACAGAATATTTTTCTTGGTTGTACATTTTACTGTATATCATTTCTAGAAGTTTGTCGTTATAATACACTCTTAGAAAAAAAAGGTTGTTTGGGGTTCTATATAGAACCCTAGGGTTCTTTACTCAACTCCAAAGAACCCTTTATGCCAAAAAGGTTCTATATAAGGAGAAAGAACCCTTTTTGGCACAAAAGTGTTCTTTGGGCTAAACCATGCTTTATGTATGTTTACACATTAGGCTATTTAAAATTATTATATTACATTATATTTGTGTTTTTATTTAAACTTTACTTTGACACACCTTTATTCCGAAGAAAATAAACTTAAAATGTACGTCTGCACTTTCAAGTCTAATATAAAATAATTGCCACGTGATCCTGTAAGTTACACTGAAAAAATGCCTAACATCTAAATTAACTGGTTTTACTTAAGTCTACTATCACTGAATAACCTATACCAACAAACTGATCAGGTAGAAATACATGTACGTACTAGCAGTGGAGCAATCTGGACAGTTGTATCTATTTATTAATAGGTACACGATATAGTCTGCTATTTAATCAGCACACTAACATGATTGCAAGTTAGTTATCATGTCATGTGATGCCATACAGCTCTTTTATTGACGAGCAACATGCTCATATCGTATGGAGTTTCAGTGTTTCATTTAGATTCTACAAGGCTATTCTTCTGACTCATCCCTCCAAACAGATGCATAAAATTATCTTTGACATAAACGGCAAACAACTTGAACGTGTATCTATGCGCTGATCAGTTTTGTCCCGTCTGCACAGCGCCGCGTTTCAGTCGCGGGCCTCTCGCGAGAGTGATCACTAATAAGCGCGCGAGCGCCGCTGTTTAAACTTCAACGGTTACGGTGCGCTGACTGCGCTCAGCGCTCGGGAGAACTACGATTATATTGGTAAGTGAGAAAATTAATTAATTTCAGCTCATTTCAATTACTTTTACCTAAACTCTTGTCAGTTCTAGTTAGCCTAACATTACACGTTTATTTCAAGAAGCTAAAAAGAAGAAAGTTGGTTTATCGCGTTGTCCAGGCCTGCGCAATTCTCCGCCGGGAGGTTTGTCATTTTTAACATGAATCCCTAAAGTATCTTGATAAAAACTGTTGTGAATTGATAAATAATGCTGGCGAGAGTTTTTGCCCTGTAGATGGTATTGGACCTATACGTATAGGAAAAGATGAAGCAAAGTTTCGGTCAAATCACCGTCAGCCGTTATAAACATGAATTCAAACCAAGAAGAACAAAGAGAGAAGCTGATGGAGATGTTTCAATTTTTTTCTGTGGATAACTGTGAGTATTTGGTGTTTGCAGTTATAGTATAGTAAAAGTATAATTATTTGTTTTACTGAAGTAAGTGTATATTATTCTAAACACACTGTATTTGGTTGTTGTAGATGTTCATCTATCTCAGAGAGCACTTTTAAAGTTTTACCACCACCTTATCAGAGTGCTGAAAAGTGGAAGTCAGAGGAAACATGACCAACTTGCTGCAAAACAATAACACAAAAGGTACATTATTTCTTAGTGATGATTGAGAATTATTGATGAACACCTGCTGTTAACAAACTGAATCACTGGAAGAAAGAGAAACAAGAACAGAAAAAAAGAGATCACTCAAGATCTCAGCAGAGGATGATTAAACAACTCCACAAACAGCATCACCAGCTTCACACATTATTAACCAGATTGACTTTAGATGTTGATGTTTCAGTTTTGTTTGAATTACCATTACCGAGGTCAGTGTTTCCTTTAGTTGGACTCGTGGCCCTTGACTTAAAGGGGTCATATGATGCTGCTAAAAAGAACATTATATTGTGTATTTGGTGTAATGAAATGTGTTTATACAGTTTAAAGTAAAAAAAACACATTATTTTCCACATACTGTACATTATTGTTTCTCCCAAAGAGAAAGGAAAAATTGAAATTGCATCATATGACCCCTTTAAACTTGCGATTGTTGATCAGTTGGTACACTGAAAGAAAATAGAAAAATGGTACTAGTAATTTTCCAGGACATTATCTGTTATCCATTATCTGTTTTAACCCTGTAACCCGAAAACACAAAATACAATGTGTAATTAAAAATGCAGGTAAAAAAACCTGTGGAAAAATAAATTGCCTACAAAAAAATTCCTTCATATTAACACTGTGCCCTATTTTACAGACTTTTGTTAGAGTGTAGCACACTAACTACGGTGCTTAAAACTATAACTGTTCAGAATGTGTAGTTTTACTTGTTTACAAAAAAAAACTTGTAATCGTTCAAAAATGTGTAGGCTACGTTTAAAAAAAATTAATGTATTTAAAAATAGTTATTTACATTTTAATATTTATTTACATAATTAATATTTACATAATATAATATTTATATTATGCATTTACATTATTTTACGATCAAATCTAAATTAACATATATCATATATTCTTTTGCTGAGATTTGATGCAGTGACACAATTTTGCGCCGTGATTACGTAACGACGTCCTCGCGCAGTGACGTCAAAACGTCATTTAGCAACTTTTAGCAACAAATTAACCTTCCTCTAGCCGTGGTGCAACAACTCTTTCTCCTCTCAGTCTCAAAATGATTTTTGGCCAATTTCTAAGGAATTATGCAACACATCTGCATATTTTTTTCAGACTGAAAAGAGAACAAGCTAAAAATAACCAAATTAAAAAAAATTATGGTTGATGGCAATATTACTGATGATCCAAGAAGTATTGCAAAGTTCTGTGCCAACTTTTACAGCGATTTATATGCTTCAGAATTATCCCCAAAACATATGAATGATTTTTTTCAGACGTTACCTAACATAAAACAGTTGAGTGTTTCAGATCAGCGTTTTTGTGATGCATCTATCACATTAAAAGAGATTGATGAAGCTATTAACCCTTTAAAAGCCAACAAATCTCCCGGAACAGATGGACTTAGCTCAGAATTCTATAAGCTGTTTAGTCACATTATAGCTCCTTTTTTATTAAAAGTTTATGAAGAAAGTACAGAGAAGACAGTACTTCCAGCAACGTTATGCCAAGGCCTATTAACTCTTATTTCGAAATCAAAAAAAGATCCCCTCTTCATAATTGGTGTCCAATCACACTGCTGAACAATGATGATAAAATATTAGCTTTAGTTTTGGCAAAAAAGATTAAAACATGTTTTGAATTCTATCATTGACGAAACACAGTCAGGCTTCATGCAGAAAATACATATTTCTAATAACATACAGCTAGTATTAGATATGATGGACTATTCAGATTATGGTGACTCGTTCTGTAGAATGGTTAAAATGCTATACATAAACGAAAACCGCTCAATTAAACTAAGTAATGGTACGTCACCTAGATTCTTTTTAAATCGAGGAGTCAGACAAGGATGTCCGGTTTCCCCATATTGTAACTAATATGTGTTTAATTAATATATTAATATATAATTAACTGTAATTATAATGGTTTGGTTTTGGTGCAAAAAAAAAAAACTTCCTTTAGCAACTTCCCCTGAAAATTGAGATATACTATTGTGAAAATTAGTTGGCAACACTGCACTGTTTTGTTTTTTTTTCGTCATCTAACGAAGACCTGCTGGTCGAAACATTGCAATAATTTTTTATGGAGCAGTTATATCAGTGTACGGACATTACTTTTGTATTTTTACTTCAGTTTGTCCTTTTTGTCCTGCACCTGAGCCCTATTTGGGTTTGTGGCATGTGCGCACTTTGTTAGCATTTTTTCATTTCAATGTGGCTCCATGTCCAGATTGTTGAATTTTACCCATTTTCATGGTCAAAAACCAAACGTGGGTCACTTTGTATACAACAAATAACTTATTGCATTTGAATGTCTGAAGAATAAATAATGTTAAAACTAGAAATTAACCCTCATGTGGTGTTCGGGTCCTTTTTGCTCTGAAAAATTTATATTTTTCCCGAAAATACTAGTTAATGTTATCGCATTGGACTGAAATTTTGTGACTTTGTTTCCTTTATTTAAAACAATTTCATAAATGTCTGAGGGTTTAACACTGAAATAGTCAAGCACATTAACTTGCTTTTCTGCTTGAGGTTTATTAATATGGAATTATTTTTCAACTTTTTCAGCATATGTGCTTGTTTGAATATTTTAAAAACACTCTTTAAAAGCCCTTCATTATCTAAGTATGACAAAGTGGATTGAAGGTTGATTTTAATGTTAAATTGGAAATGGAGTGATTTTTTTAATTGATATTTGATGCTCTTTACTGATATAGACCTGTGATGTGACTAAAGTTTGTTAAAACATGATGCCAGTTGTGGTTTTCGTTTGTCAGGAGTATAAAGTATGCTGATCCTATGATTCAAACAAGAAAATATACATGCAATAGAAACATAATGGTTACATCATATGCCACAGCATCTTATGATTGTGTAACCAGTTTAGGAAATTACTTCCTGTGTAGGTTTAGGGTTTTTAAAACATTAGGCAACATAGCTACTCACAACTCATCTGTGAAGACTGTCAGCCACAGTGACTAATGGAGATCGAGGCTGTTTATGAAAATGTTGAACACAAAGACATTAATCACACATTTGGACCTCAAACACAGAATCACAAGCCAGCAGAAGGAAAAGCTCAAAAATGCAGTAAGTTTATTAACATTTTAATATAGTTTTTTTTTTTTTTTTACTTCTTCAGCATACGTTTTTGCATATTTTACTTTATAGGAATTCCGGTTGTTTGTCATTATAAATAAGCATACACTTTACTTACATGTTGATTTGAGGTGTTGTCTAGTAATATTCAGTGAACTGTTATTAATTGATGTTTGTGTGTTTTGGTCGTGTTCCTCAGGAGGAAGTAGATGTTTGGTGTTGATCACAGTGGGTCTCGGGCTCATTTGTGTTCTTCTGCTGATCTTCATCATACTGCTGTACTTCACCATAACAGCAGAGAGAGACCTGATAAAGACTTACAAGAACACAGTTGAAGAGTTACAGGCCAATTACACTGATCGAATGCAGAAGAAAGGTAAGTTAGAAAGCAGAGTCTTGTCTTTGAGTGATGAACTTAAGGCAGAAACGAGGTTGGATCAAATCCGTTTTTGTATAATTTTTCCCGCATATTTTTGTATAGCTTTGAAAAGTGTTTATGTTTGAAAATCTGTGTGGTTCAGGTTGGTTTTTCATGTCCAATGAGGCGAAGAACTGGTCTGACAGCAGGCAGTACTGCAGGGATCGTGGTGCTGATCTGGTCATTATCAACACTGAAGAGAAGCAGGTGAGTTTGTGTGAGTGTCTGTTAATGAATGAGAGCAATCACACTTACTCCTGTTTTTATTCACACAGAGACTCATATATTCATTAGTCAGTGAGAGAGTGTGGATTGGTTTGTCTGACACAGAGAACGAGGATTTAAGGGGGTCTGAATACTTTCCGTACCCACTGTATATATGAAGACTCTGCTCTTCTACGGACGCAATCATGACAACAACCACAATTAAAAGGGACTTCCCATTTAAACAAAATAAAAATTACTAAAAGAAAACTTCTGTCTTTTAGTTTTCTGCACTTCCACTTCTGCTCAATCTTCTGTACTACTTTATTTTACTCTCTAAACTTTGCGGTAGTGTTAGTATTGTTGATTCATGAAATGCTTGTGATGCTCCTCAGTTGTTAGTTGCTGAAAGAGTAAAAACTTTGGGGCTGATATGATTGAACATCTGACACATTTTATTCAGGTTTTGGCTCGAGGGTGAGCCAAATAACCTTGATGGAAATGAGAACTGTGTTGATCTGAATCCTGAAAACCCTATCCTGAACAACTGGAATGATCTGCCATGCTCAGGCACAAGATATTGGATTTGTGAGAAATAGGGTTCATCTAGTCTTGTCATGCTTTTGCTTGTATTGTCTTATGGAATCATTCTTATTGTGATATGAGAATGTATAATTTCTGATTGAGTTTCCTGTCTGTTTCAACTTATTTCATCATATTAACAGCTTTCATATGAAAGGGCACTATGGCACAACAAACCTCTGATGTGTTGCTCCATTATAGCAGCATGTTAATTTAATATATGTCCTTCCTTATTTCAGCTGTTATCATGAATCTCACTTGTTGTTTGGAAGTGTTGCGATTGCAGTTACTCATTCTATTATGCTGATATTAAGTGTCTGTGGAACTGCTTTTGATTTGCTTTGCTTTCTTTTAAATTAAAATTGTTGATTGACGGTATTAGCACAGCATTTTTGTTTTCATTTCGTATTCTTGTGCATCTGCTTCACTGCATTTAACGCCCGACTGGAGAGATTTCCTCCAGAACTTTGCCAATTAGGTATAAGGTGGATATTAGTAAAAGAACATCTGACTATTTAAGTGTATATGCTGTAGAGTTAGTTGCCATTTTGGAAGTAGTAGAGTGGATTGTAGAAAACGGTAGGGCTGTCAGAAAAAATTCGAATTTCGCTTATTCGTCGAATTTGAAATAGTAATCCACTTTTGAATGCAAAAACGTTGCAAAAAATTTTAAGTGTGCGTTAAAGGGGTCATATGATGCGATTTCAATTTTTTCTTTCTCTTTGGAGTGTTACAAGCTCTTGGTGCATAAAGAAGATCTGTAAAGTTGCAAAGACTAAAGTCTCAAATCCAAAGAGATATTTATAAAAGTTAAGAGTCAACCATGCCTACCTAAAACGGCTCGTTCTAACACACCCCCACATATCTACATCACTATGTGGGAAGATTTGCATAACACCGCCCAAATGTTCAAGCAAAGAAAGAAGGCGTAACTTTTATTCATGAAGGCGCTGTGTTTCGTTGTGAAAGCGAAACTACTTTGTTTGGCCTTCCAAAAGAGGACGATATCCATTCGAATTTTAGGTGTGCATTAAGGAGGCAGCCTTATCAGCGGCGCTGCTGCGTTGTTCATTAGCGGAAAAAGAGAACATCAATGCGGAGAAGATCTTGTTTACATCAAAACCGAAACCAAGCCATTCACACAGAAGCCGCATGTTTAGAAAGCCATGTAAAATTTATGCAAGTTTAACTTTGAAAAAAACATATATCGAGACTTTATGTCGGGTTTTTCCCCATCCAGCATCTCATGTTTTTAAATGAAAAATGTACTCTGTGTGATTGGCTTTCCGCCCTTTGTATTAAACTATGCATACATACATGATGCTGTTTTGTTTATAGTCGTTTAAGCAACTTAATTATAATTGGTTTATAAACATTATTTTAAACATTATGCACTTTTTTTTCGCAGATATAGTCATGTTATCTTATGCTTTGAATGATGCGCCCTCTTTGTGGCCTCAGGAGAGAAGCCAACAGCTTTTCTTCGCCCTAACTGAAATTATGCATTTTAAATTTGAATATAATTCGAATTTTGATAATATTTAAGTACAAAATTTGAATGTAGTTTTTCAGCCATTTTGACAGCCCTAGAAAGCGGTGCCAACAGTTTTTTAATATGTAGTGACGTTGTATCTGCTCTTACGAGCATTAAATCAGGCACAGCTACAAATCTTCAAGGCCTGCTCTATGATATTTTATTTATTTATACAACAGCAGTTAGGTAGGGGAAGAATATTGCATTCAGGTGGGTCCCGTCATTCAGGTATTCCGGGCAATGAAAGGGCAGACAAGCAAGAAAATGTTGAAATTAATATTAAGTTATCTAAATCAAAAGGAAAGAGCATAGTGTGGAATGAAACAATGGACAAATGGCAGCAGCAGTGGCATGAAGAAACAAAGGGGAGGCATTTATATTCTATACAAAACAGAGTGGGTGTATCAAGAGATAATGGTATGAGTAGGAAAGAACAAGTTAATTCTAAGCAGAATAAGAATGGGGCATAGCAACCCTAATGGCACTCTTCATATTATGGGAAAACACCCAACAGGAATGTGCAGCCAGTGTCAGGAGTACGAGACGGTTGAGCATGTTCTAATATCTTGCGGGAAATTTACTCAAGAAAGACAAGAAATGATGACCCAGCTACAGAGTTTAGGACGAGTAGAGGCAAATGTTAAAAGTATTTTGGAATGTGCAGAGAAACAAAAAGGCTGGAAATATTTATTAGGTTTTTTTTAAAAGAAACTGGACTGGACAAGAGAATAGAGTGTAAAGGAAATTTAGTACAGTAGGTGGCAGTAATGCAACAAATTGGATGCCAGCTGCCGTAAAACCCCAAAGAAGAAGAAGATTTCCTCCAGTCCAGCAGGACGCAGCAGAGAGCAGGTTTAGCAGACTGAAGGGATCAGAGAAGAAGACAAGAGGAGACAATGAATGTAGTAAGGTCTCTTTAATTTTCTTAAAGATACAGGGTTACAGCACAGTATATATGTGTGTTTAGTGTGTGTGTGTTTTTTTTAAAAATATAATTATAACTATGTGAAGTACATGAAGCCCTGAAGTTGCACACCCCGGTACAGTAGGTGGCGGTATGCACCTGAACAAGTTGGTTGAGAGAGAAGACAAACATCAGAGCCAGAGCACTTGCTAAGCCCTACGGTAGTTTTTCCAGAGATTGCCCCTTGGAAGATCACATGGCCTGAGGTGTTTGTGCTCGAGGAAAAAAGGAAAGCAAAGGAAGAAATTAATTTGAAGAGTGTATTTAGCAATCGAATAGGAGGAAACTATAGTGAATTTATACAGACAGAGAAGAAACAGGGTTTGCGGTGGCAATTCTGGGAAAAGAAATAGAAATTAATAAAAGAACATCTAATAAACTAGGGGTATATACACAGTAGAGATGATGACAATATTAAATTGCTTTGCAATGGGTGGAAAAGGTAGGGCAGCAAAAGGTTTTGATATGTTCTGCCTCTTTATCAGTTTTAGCTAGTTTAAGGTCATTTCATTCAACAACTCGGCAAGATATCCTGAAAGTAGTGCTGCAATTACACAAGAAACACAAGAATAGTTAATAAGGGATGTCAGGTAAGATTTATGTGGGTCCCAGCACATGTTGGGATTGGGGTAATGAGATGGCGGATAGGCTGTAGAACGTAGAGATGCAGGTTAATGTACTGTAAGTAAAGTAGAGGTTAAATGCATAATATGGGAGAAAATCAATACAAGGTGGCAAGAGAGGTGGGATAGAGAGGAGAAAGGGAGGCACTTTATACCAAATTTAAAGAAATGTTAAAGAGGATAGGGTGGGAATGGGAAATAGGAGAGAAGATGCAGTGATGACAAGGTTAAGGTTGGGACATTGTTCATTGAATAAAACACTAATGACAGGGAAGCACCAGACAGGATTTTGTGAGGGATGTCGAGAAGAGGAGTCAGTGGAGCACATAATTATGACTTGTATGAGATATGAAGCACAGAGGCAGGCAATGAAGAATAAGCTGAGGGAGATTGGGGTGCAGGAGATCACATTAAAAGGGCTACTAAGCACAGTAAATAGGACACAGAGTAGAATATTGATGACATTTTTAAGAGAAGCAGGAGTCTTAAACAGGATTTGATGGATAATTAAAGTATGATGTGTGTGTGTGTACTGGTTTATATATCCTGGTGGGGACTTAAACTTGACTACACACAGACTCATGGGGACTCGTGTCACGGTGGGGACCTAAATTGTGGTCCCCACGGGTACAAAAGCTTATAAATCATACAGAATGAAGTTTTTTGAAAATCTAAAAATGCAGAAAGTTTCCTGTGAGGTGTGTGTGTGTGTGTGTGTGTGTGTGTATGTTTTTATGTGTGGGGCCTATGTGAGTGGTATATAAGTGTTAGTAGGGAAAAGGGAATAGATTAAGTTTTATTTTAACCTATTATCTGATCCACAATCCGGAGCAGAAGGGGGCGATAATGCACCAATAAGCTGGATGCCAACCGTCGTTAAACTGAGAAGAAGAAGAACAGCGCACTTTATCTTATCTAGATTGAGAATAGGACATGTTGCATTAAATAACAGTTTGCACATAATAGGGAAACATGAAACAGGCATTTGTGATAAATGTGGACTACCAGAGACGGTTGAGCATGTTCTTTTAATATGTATAGCGTATGAAAGGGAAAGACATCAGATGTTCCAAGAACTGGAACTGATGGGAATTAATAGTATATCTCTAAAGACACTATTAGGTTGTGGGGTAATGCAATCAAGAATATATGTAGAATTTTTTAAGTACTTTAAAGAGACAAGATTAATGGAAAGAGTTTAAAGCTTAGAATTTTGTATTTATGTAAAAACAAAAATTGGTTTATTTTTTTTTTTAATTTTTTTTTTAATCTATAATAGTTGAATAATTCATAGCTGAACCGTGTACGTTTCACACTCCAGACCAGTAGGTGGCGGACATGCACCTTTAACGTTGGTTTTCCAATCCGCCAATAACCTCGAGAGAAGAAGAACAGAGCACTTGCTGCTGTCATTCAGTGTCATTGCTGCATTTAGGGACGTTTTTCCTTCAGGATCCCGTGGAAAGGACCGAATTTGATTCGTTTATTTGGTTGTTTAAAACCGCGTACACGCAAAACCTGCACTAAATTATATGTTCTTCAGTATATTCCAGCAATAAATAAAATGAATGTATGGCGACCATCTGATTAGTTTTAAAAGTACAAATTAACCCCATCAAGAGAAAACCCTACCGCTTCACCTGCTTCAACAGAAGATCGTTTTGAAAATCTGACTCCGGTTTTACACTTCTGCTGGATTTACTTGATTTACAGACGTGGACAGTTTAAGAAGCTCTCTTCCACAAACACAAGGCCGATTTCTGTTGCTCAAACCTTGTGAGCCATCATGGCTAAAGTGCAGGTGCTAAACGTGGCTGTTCTGGATAATCCCAGTCCTTTTAGAAACCCGTTTCAATTCGAAATCACGTTTGAATGCATGGAGGACCTACCTGAAGGTGAGAGATTTCACAAATTAACACTGTTTATGCACGTATTCTGCAGTTACGTCGTCAATACTGAAGGCTTTAAATCCGTTTTACGATGTCATTATGTTTTACATCATCAGGAATCACGGGAATATTTATGGTGATTTAAGCGGGAAAAGTCTTATTGTCAGCTGTTAATGTTTACGCGCTTAATATTTTGGCGCCGGCGGGGAGTTCGATGACAGCGCGAGGTCGCCCCTCCTTCCCTGATTAGTCCGATAGCGGAAGCGGGGCGTGAACAATGTGTCTGTGCCCTCTCCGATTGGTTAGATTTCTCGTGACGTCACGTGCCGGGAGGCGCTGTGACGGTTTTGGGGCAGAACTTGCGCCTCGGTAGTATCGTAAAATACATTACTATTCTAGAGACATTATTTTATTTCATGAACACAAATAAGCTAAAACTGTTAAATGTATGTATATTTTTTTATTTTGTTTACTACATTTTACTAGAATAATGTTCCTCTGATTAATTGGAAATCTTACTCTTTTTTTTTCATACATAATACAACATTGTTTGCCATTCCTCACAACAAAAATATTATGAAGAATTTATTTATTCAGTTATTGCATAGTTATCATAGTCTAAGGATAAAGAAAACTTTGCTACATTTTACTAGAATACTGTTCCTCTGATTAATTGGAAATCTTACTCGTTTTATTTTATACATGTCGTCTATAATACAACATTGTTTGCCATTCCTCACAACAAAAATATTATGAAGAATTTATTTATTCAGTTATTGCATAGTTATCATAGTCTAAGGATAAAGAAAACTTTACCTAGGCATGTTTCCACACTGTTTTCTCTAACTTTATAAAATGACATTTTTATTTAATCGTTATACCCATTAATTTACCGACGATTAGTAATATTACACTTAATGGCACAATAAAAAAATCCCAGTAAAATTATTGCAACAGAGTTCAGTCATGACAGCTATTAAAACCAACCCATGAGCAGTTTTGATTTATAAATAAAATAAGGTTTTTGGTTAACATCGAGATAAGAAATTGTCACATTTTGTTCTACAAAACCTCAAATGTTTATCCTCATAATCAAATATGAAACTTGAAATACAAATATAAGGACAAATACAAAGGATGTTCAGTTTTTCAAGCATGTGAACTCGCATCCTTTTAATTTTGCACTAAATGCTTATTGTATGGTGTTGAATGCTTATTGTATGGTGTACATCTGTCTCTTTACTGTTTAAAGAATTGCTTATCCCTCGGTTTCTGTCTCTCTTTCTCTCTCAGATCTGGAGTGGAAGATCATCTACGTGGGCTCAGCTGAGAGTGAGGAGTACGACCAGGTCCTGGACTCGGTTCTGGTCGGCCCAGTTCCTGCAGGCAGACATATGTTTGTCTTTCAGGTGGGTTATGATCTGGGAAATACTTGTTCCTGGTTCGGTGCTGTATGATCGGCTTCCTGCAAATCTCAGTTCTAACCTGTATAAATAATACCACCGTAGTAAATACATTGCAGTGCACTGCCACCTAGAGATGAATGGAGAAAGTACAAATGTAAATTTCAAGTCAAATACACAAATTGCTTTAAGATGTGTGCTCATCTCATCTCTGTTCCTGAAAAAGTGCAAAAACAATGGCACATTGGTCCTCTGGACACAGTTCAAAGTCATGAAATGCAAAGGGTTATTTGTAGATGCAAGAACATTTACAACCTGCAAGCTACAAAGATGACTTGGAAACCGCATTAAATTCACATTTCTCTGTTTGGTCTCTCTTGACTTGATTGACAGGCGGACGCTCCAAACACAGGGCTGATCCCTGAGAGCGACGCAGTGGGCGTGACCGTCGTGCTGATCACATGCACATATCGGGGACAGGAATTCATTCGCATTGGTTACTATGTAAACAATGAGTACACAGACCCTGAGCTGCGGGAAAACCCACCTGTCAAGCCCGACTACACACAGGTGAGACATTATATACATGCTGTGCTTTATTCACTAATGGTACAGCACTAGGGCTGGGCGATATAGCTAAAAAAATCATGATGTAATGTTTCATATCAGTCGCTATTGGTAATTATTGAAAAACAAAAATGTTATAACCTTTGTTTAACAAAGAGCAGAGGAAAAAAAATTAACCAGTTTATTAAGTCAAACAACAAATTATTTTAGTTTTAACAGTCAAACGCAAAAAAAGATTTAAACAGTTATTCCTTTCTTATATTTTATATGCAGATAGCGCACAATGAGCAAAATAATGCACCGCATTAAATTGTTTATTCAGTGCAATGAAATAACGACTATCTATAAAAAAGTGCATAACGTCTAAACTAACATATATAAATCAAATATAATTTTGTAAGTTGCATAAACCGTTAACTGCATCATGTATTTATGCTTAGCTTAATACAAAAAGCCTAAGCGCAGATCACACAGATTGCATTTAATGTAGAACACACAAACACATGTTAAAATGAGTGCTGTGCCTGCGCCTATATTGTGCGCTATACCGAACATTTTTTCTGTCGTTATGGATGAAAGTGTACCAGCGATAAATACCGATACCTTTTATCGCCCAGGCCTATACGGCACAGTTAGATTAATCGATTAAGGAAGACATGGATTCCAGCATATTGATATTAATACGAATATATTTAAATTACTAAATATTTAAAATATAACTGGTGAACTGGAATAGGGATATGTAGGGGAAACTGAATTTAGGCCAGAAAGGCCATTAACACTCAGTAGACACTATGCACGTTATATATTGAGAGTGTATTTGTGTAACACGGATCTGCTGCATTTGAAATGTGGTAATGAGGGTCAGATCAAAGAGGCAGGTGGCTGCCGTTTATAGTCCAGTATCGTTTGTAATTCATTAATTCTGCTAAACGATTGCGGGTCGCTGCCGTTGTGCGTGTTGCTACAGAATCCCATTTTTCCACGCATTCACTCTGTTGCGAATCTCGAGATTCTTAAACCACTTTTTGAATATTTAAAACTCCGATTCGACACATAAAGCAGTTTGTTTTAAGCATTGAGGTGTCATGAATATTGATTAGTCTATTGACTAATAATTATGATAATATTGTTAACTCTTTACAATAAGATTCCATGTTAACATTAGTCAAATACATTCGTTTATATGAACAATTAAAAATACTTCTAAAGCATTTAGTAGTCTTAGTTGATGTTAATTTGTGAATGCATTATTATAATCAACACTTGTCATTTTAATAACTAAAGTTGACAAAATTAATAAATACTGTAACAAACGTCTTGCTCGTTGTCAGTTAATGCATTAACAAAAATGAACTAATGGCACCTAGTTGTCAAGTGTAAATTATATTATATTTCGAGGAGTAATATTAGCATCGAGTCTTTACAATGTAACATTGACAGATTCAAATCCAAACAATTCTAATTATCGTTCTTTTTGATTTTTCATCGTCGTTTTTTTTTCTCTCTTTTTTTTTGTGCCGATTCGCAGCTGCAAAGGAACATCTTGGCGTCTAACCCCCGCGTGACCCGTTTCCACATTAACTGGGAGGCGACTATGGACAAGATGGAGGATTCGGAGAATGTAGACCCCGCCCCCAACGCCATGCTCCCGCCCACCTCCATGCCTGGCAAAGCCCCGCCCCTTGGACTCATGCCTGACAACTCTATGGACTGCTTGTAGAGCCTGAACACAACAACAGCCTCATGCATAAAGTAATAAATGTGTTATTTTGTATTCATACACCTACATGTTCTTACAGTTGAGACACACACTCATCTCAATCCTGTGGCACTGCTCTGATCACACAGCTGAAGCGCTCAGGCAGTCGAGGGACTTTGTCTTGCGCTCCCTGTCCTGAACAGCAGGGGGCGGGACCTGCAGCACCAGCAGACATGGACTGTTTTCTTCTGTTTTTCTGTGGTGCACATCACTAGTGAGGTGAATCCCATAAAAAGCATGTTCGGTTTGCATTTTCTTAGAAATTATATTTTGCATAAAGACAAAGAAGCATTTTAGGACCATTAGTATGTTTGCGTTTTGAAATTGTTGACACATTTTCACCCCCAAAATGT